TCGCAACTCCCATGCCCCGCCGCCCCGAACGTCCGTGACCAGGTCCGGACGAGCCACTCGGCCGGCACGGGCACCGCAAAATTTTAGCAAATTTTTTTCTTCGCCCAAAGAACGATTCGATGGTTGGAATGCCAATATTTTATTGGGTTGTGCGGCAAAACTTCGATCGCAACTTCGATTCCGTCGACGGGACCATCCGTGGCATGCCACGGACCTTCCGTGTGGCCGGCACGGGCACGCAAAATCCAGCCAAATTTTGAATTTTTTTTATCAAGAACACTCGATTCGATGATGAAAATTCGATATTTGGATTGGATTTTGTGCGGGGGGTTGATGGATTTGCCATTGGAATCGTTTGGAACACCCATGGGCATGTTCCGTCTAGGCAGCATGTGGCCTGGCCTGGGCGTGGCCTGGCCTGGGCGTGGCAAGGCCCCAGGCGGACCAGGCAAGGGCCTCCCCCTATATATGTTTGAACTGAAATCCTCACTTTGCCACCAAATTGGTCCCCTTTTTCCCTGTAGACATAAATTTCTAGTTTGATGACTTAGACTTCGAATTTTTTCTTGATTTTTTGCATGCTCTTTAAACACAATATAAGAACCCCTCCCACCAAAAATTAGAATTTTTCGACTTCGGATGAATTAATTATGAATTTTCTAAGCGCCCGGATTTTCAAGAACGGAGCGGAGGCAAACGCGCCTTAGGAATGGAATTTCCCGATGATTTTTTGCATGGACATCTCAAATAACACATAGAAGGGATCTGCAAAGTTTCGTAGCGTTTCGATAACGTCTCGATTTATTTTGAATTTTCGTCCGAAACGCGTGTAATTGAGTTTTTTCAAGGGGCGGAAGCAAACAAACGTCGGGCTACGGAATGAGTTCCGGTCTGGAATTTTTCATGCATTAATCTGCCACCAAATTGAGATGGCATGCCAAGTTTCATGCCATTCGGGCGATCCCTCGATATATTTCGGCTTTTCGCGTGTCGGGCCCCCGTGCGGTTTTTCCGACGGGAGCGGAGGCAAACGCGCCTTAGGGGAATAATCTCCCGATGGATTTTTGCATGCACTTCCCAAATAACACATTGAGAGTGTCCAAGGAGTTTCGTAGCGTTTCGACAAGCCCTCGGTCTACTTTCAATTTCCGACCGGAACGCGTGCGTGTGCGGTTTCTCCATGAACGGGAGCGGAGGCAAACGCGCCTTAGGGGAATAATCTCCCGATGAATTTTTGCATGGAAGTCCCAAATAACACATAGAAGGGATCTGCAAAGTTTCGTAGCGTTTCGACAATTTTGAATTTCCGGCCGAACGGGCCCCCGTGCGGTTTTTCCGACGGGAGCGGAGGCAAACGCGCCTTAGGGGAATAATCTCCCGATGGATTTTTGCATGCACTTCCCAAATAACACATTGAGAGTGTCCAAGGAGTTTCGTAGCGTTTCGACAAGCCCTCGGTCTACTTTCAATTTCCGACCGGAACGCGTGCGTGTGCGGTTTCTCCATGAACGGGAGCGGAGGCAAACGCGCCTTAGGGGAATAATCTCCCGATGAATTTTTGCATGGAAGTCCCAAATAACACATAGAAGGGATCTGCAAAGTTTCGTAGCGTTTCGACAATTTTGAATTTCCGGCCCGAACGGGCCCCCGTGCGGTTTTTCCGACGGGAGCGGAGGCAAACGCGCCTTAGGGGAATAATCTCCCGATGGATTTTTGCATGCACTTCCCAAATAACACATTGAGAGTGTCCAAGGAGTTTCGTAGCGTTTCGACAAGCCCTCGGTCTACTTTCAATTTCCGACCGGAACGCGTGCGTGTGCGGTTTCTCCATGAACGGGAGCGGAGGCAAACGCGCCTTAGGGGAATAATCTCCCGATGAATTTTTGCATGGAAGTCCCAAATAACACATAGAAGGGATCTGCAAAGTTTCGTAGCGTTTCGACAATTTTGAATTTCCGGCCCGAACGGGCCCCCGTGCGGTTTTTCCGACGGGAGCGGAGGCAAACGCGCCTTAGGGGAATAATCTCCCGATGGATTTTTGCATGCACTTCCCAAATAACACATTGAGAGTGTCCAAGGAGTTTCGTAGCGTTTCGACAAGCCCTCGGTCTACTTTCAATTTCCGACCGGAACGCGTGCGTGTGCGGTTTCTCCATGAACGGGAGCGGAGGCAAACGCGCCTTAGGGGAATAATCTCCCGATGAATTTTTGCATGGAAGTCCCAAATAACACATAGAAGGGATCTGCAAAGTTTCGTAGCGTTTCGACAATTTTGAATTTCCGGCCCGAACGGGCCCCCGTGCGGTTTTTCCGACGGGAGCGGAGGCAAACGCGCCTTAGGGGAATAATCTCCCGATGGATTTTTGCATGCACTTCCCAAATAACACATTGAGAGTGTCCAAGGAGTTTCGTAGCGTTTCGACAAGCCCTCGGTCTACTTTCAATTTCCGACCGGAACGCGTGCGTGTGCGGTTTCTCCATGAACGGGAGCGGAGGCAAA